CAATACAATCTTGGGAAGAAAGGCACTCCTTCTTGCCCAAATGGCAGTAGAAATTTATCATAGAAGCTTTACCTGTGGATATGACTATACTCCTTTCATCTCAAGCAGTTATGAAAACAAAAACTCCTTGAAAGAGATACATTGTCAGGTGGTGACAGGGAAAGCTAGAAAGGTCTTTGGATTGCTTTATTTTGAATGTACTAAGAAAAAGAAGTAATCAAGCATTAAATGAAGTCATGTTAATGAACTTTGGATACTGTGTCCAATTCACAGCAGCATTTGGTTCGTAGAGGGTGCACTAATACATGGTATTTACTGTGCATTTAGTTTAGTACTTGCTTAATGAAGTACTAAGTAAATGCACAGTAACTACAGTTACTGCGCAGTAGTGCCAGTGTATGTTTTTTGTGACGCTTACTGCACAGTAGCCTAATATCACTGTGCAGTAGCATATCAGCACGGTTTTTGACCAGCACACTACTGCATAGAGTTATTAGGCTACTGAGCAGTAAGTGGCTCATGTACACATGCCCAGAAAATATAATAACTGCTTCATAGGATTTGTGACAGGACTAGCTAATTTTCAATTGGTTTTCCTCCCAGGTGTGTCCTTTGCAAAGTTGCTAAAAGTACTTCTGTGGAAGAGAGACCCCAGGTTATCCATTAGTCCCTAACCAGATGGTCACTCACACTGTTTTAACTTGTGTTTGGTGACAAGATGGAGATGACGTTCTCTAATAAGTACCGGAGTGCCTTTGACTCACCCTCTCTCCCCCTCCCACTAAAATATGATCTAAATGCTGTATCCTTCCTTACTTTACATTTAGTCCTTACTTAGAAGATTAAAATGAATAAAATGCCTATAGAGGGATTTGGCCTTTAAAGCTTCACATGACCCCAGGATGAGTTTTGTGAGAAATTTTGTTAGCATGACTTAAGTGACCAGAGTGGAGCTAAAGACCAGATCTGAAATGTGTACAGAAAAAAGCAGAAACAAATTGCCAATGGGAAAATGGAAATACTGACAGTGGAAAGGAAACCATAATAACGGGATAATTTTGAGGGATTAGATATTAGCACGTCACATAGAAGTGATTTAGTTGCTTACAAGTAATGGAAAACCAACATATTCCTGTGACTTTTTAAAGAAAAACCCTTCATTCAAAACTTTGTATGCAAAAACTTCCATTGAAATTTCAGACCAATTCAGCATTGAAGTGAAATGGAATATCATTCACTATTAATTTGTAAATTATTTGTTTTCTTTGACTTTGCTTTTTTTAACTGGAAAAAAAGGAATGACATTTCAGTAATTTCTGTTTGGAAAGTTGATCCAATTACATTTGTAATTTCTAAATTCCCTAGAAGCATATCAACAGAATGTAAATGCATTTACATTTCCCCACTAAAAATTTTGGTTTGCACAAAAATATATTTTTGTAAGGGTTATTTTTGCCACAAAAGAGGTTTGCTAGCATATTGGACAAAACTAGGTTCAAGAGGCTGATGTTTGTTACTAGCTCCTACTATTAATATGTTAGCCTTCCTCATACAAATCACTTAATATAAATCAGAAAAAAAATGTTATACTTGCCTACTGATCTCACAGGAGTATAGAAAAGAGCATCTTTAAGATACTCAAAACCTGAAGAGCCTGATTGTTCATTTACACCAGCAAATAATCACAAAATTCTAATTGCTTCATTGCATCTACTCTTCATTGACAGAAAAGTAACTAAGATAAAATAAGGCCCTTTAAATGGTAAGGAGTGGAGTATTTATTATTTAATTCACTCTCCTGCTTTGTAGCTATTGTTAGTATGGGTTGTATTTCTAATTTCCCAGCTCACAGCATTAAAAATTCATTTATACATATTCAGGACCCTAAGTATAAACAACCTCTGTGCCTTTCTAGCATTTCTGAACCACAGAAAACATCTACTGTTGAGGTTGTTGTTTTTTTTTAATTCTACCACAAGCTTGAGGGCCCCGAAGGAGATTTTATATAAAACTGACAAAACTTTAACTATGCTCAAGATGTATTTTTTCCTCAGTTTCTGTACCTGTTGGTACAGTATAATTGCAAACCTACCTCTCTGGAGGATAAATCAGAAGATCATGACAGTACAATTGGATGCAGTCAGGCATCTTCCACAGATTGATATGTTTTGCTTCACTCACTCCAGTCCCCCCTGCTGCTTCCCTACTTTTATCTCTAGATTTTCTTAGTCTGCTTGCTTCAGACCATGCATTGTGCGTGAGTGATGTCAAATGCATACTTGATTCATGCAAACCTTGTAGCAGCCAGTGAAATACAACTTGTCGGCATTCTTCAATTTTTCCCATGCCCTGCTAGCATCATGTGAAAGACAAAATGCATACAGGCTAGCCATCACCGGAAGCTGAAGTACTAGCTAAGTTTATCTGAGGTGTTCCTTTCTTGTGTCTTTGTGACAAGGTAATCAGCAGAATTCACAGATTCATTAGACTGTAATATCGCTGCACCATGAACACTTCTGCTATGGCCTTGAACACTCAGTCTCTGGGATTCTAGGCACTCACCCCAGTGCCCAGGCTACCAGAGTGGGATATCTAATGCATTAAAAAAGTTAACAAATATAAAAAACCCGTATGAGGTGTTCTGCATCCACTATTAAAAGTGGTTAGGTAAAAGTGTGTCTTTTTTATTTTGAACAGATTATTCCCCACAGTGCAATAAGAGTCAGATCTGCTGAAATTAGTGATAAAATAAATGTTCATTGTTTTCTGTATCTGCTGGTCAATACCAATTATGAAGACAGGAGCTAGAACATAAGTATTATCCAAATTATTAACTACACACTAGGAACATCTACATGAGATGTTCACTGCACAGTCAACTAATTAGCTGTGCAGTAAATGTTTTGGCATATACATGTGCACTTCCATTAGGCTGGAGTAAACTAATTTACTCCACAGCAGCAGATGTGTAGGTGCTGGAGGGGCTGGCTGGGGCATGAAGGTGCTTCAGTGTGGGGATTGACTGCCGGTTAGCTCTGCAGTGAATCTCCCTCGTGCCCCAGCCAGCCCGCCCCTCTGCAGCACATTGATCCAGGAGAGGAGCAGCCCCAGGCTGGCAGGCTGACTCCTGGGCTTGCTATCCGGGACTGGAAAAGAATTATGCCTTTTTTAAAGAAGCAATTTAACAAAGAATAAAATGGTGTTTAAATACTGAAGAAAGCAATTTAAAGATTTCAATGTATATATCTCAATTTTTCTTAAATTCCAACAATTTGCCTAATACTCTTGTATAATTTTTAATGAGTGAACTTGTAAAAATTCTGTTTGGATTGTTTAAGTACTTAAAGGCAAATAACAGTACTGTTCCCTATGCTGACTAATATTTTACATCATTCATAAATAGTGTGTGCAATCTGACATATAGAGTTACGGTACTTGACTGTCCTATCTTTAGCCAAAGGCTCAACTTCCCTCGTGCAGGAGAGAGGGGTAAAGGCTGGAGGGATGTGAGTCCCTGACTTTTAAAACCTGCCCCATCCTCAACACCAGACATTCACTTATGGTCAGACTTAGGCAACCGCACTGTCATACAGCCTAATAGACAATATGACAGTGGAAGAGTCATCTACAAGTGCAATTAAATCAACTAAATAAACTCCTGTGAAGTTCATGGTGGAGTGGAGTTAACTGCTCCCAGGCAGAGTGCCGTCATGTGTGCCTGGGACTGCAGCAGTTTGAGCTGAGATAGAGCAGCCCTGGACTGGCAGCAGGCTTTCGGGGTCAGCCCTGGGCTCCGGGTTTTGGCACTGGGTGGCAGAGGGGCTGGCTGGGGCACAAGAGTGCCTAAAGAGCGGAGCCCTGGTGGCTAGGCAGCGGGCAGAGGTCTGGTCCCTTGCTGCCTGGGGTGAGCAGGTGTAATTTACACCCAGGTCAGCGATTATACATGAATTAGGTTCAGCTATATTCACTGCAGTAAGATAGTACAGGGACAATACTATCTTATGGCAGTGAAAATTAGTTTGCTGTGGTCTAATAGCCTCATACATGTAGAGTGATGCTTTACACCGCAGCAAATTAATCTACTATGCAGTTAAACACACATGTAGGTGCACGCAAAAGGTGGTATAGCAGACTATGACTCCAGCACATCCTCAGAGGCAGGGGAGAAGGGAAACAACATATGTATTTTTGTTTTTGTTATACCTAAGATATATGTCTAGATGGTGTACCAAAAGCTGTGATGCAGAAATGGATCCCTCAGAAGGACTAACAGTGGAGAGGTTGGGAACTTTGCAGGTGAATGCAGGAAGAGTGAAATATGTTTTGTGAGCAACAAGTAAGAAGGGAAAGAAGAAAGGATAGAACAAGCAAAGCAAGAGAAGTCCAAGTCACATCCAACTTTTCAGGTAGTTGAATCAGTTTGCAAGACGTCTCACATTCATGGATATTAGAATTCAAATCTTATGAAAGTACACAGAAGAAACACTATGTGGAATTTATTGTGCTTCCAACACAATCAGTAACAAAGTACCCCTTGATCTCAGTAGCAGTAGGACCAGGCTCCAGAACTGACAGTGAATAACCAGCTGGGTTTTTTTTCCAAGCTGTAGTTATTTTATGTGTATATGAAGCATTCACATACACCCAGAAATAATATCTTGCATTTATACAGCACCTTTCATCTCAAAACAATAATTTAGAAAGAGTAAAGATGCCTTAAGTATACAAAACATCCTGTATCTATTTGTTTCTGTAATACCATATAAGTAAGACAAAACCTACTGACTGATCATTTGGGTACCTTCATGCTACCTACAGAAATCTTCTCTGAGAAGTTTTCGTTTCCCAATTCCCATGGTAGAGTAGGATGAAATGGCCTGTTCTTTTTTCTATGTAGGTTGTTCTGCAAGCATATAAGCATTATTAAGAATCTGAGAAACTGTATTCCCCCAATCTATGCTAATTTACTTGCTAAATTTACTCACCAATGTAATGGAATTGAATAAAAGATCACCCATCCATGTTTATTCTAAATACCATATCAGAGGCAGGCTGGAGTAGAGTCATTGTTGATTTGTGCTTAAGTTAATGAAATTTGAAAGTCGAGAAATGATAGGGTTGTTTAGAATAAGTCCATCTCTGTAAAATAATTGCATCGAAGTTCCCATAAACAGAAAAGAGCGGCATTCTGTTGCAGCTGTTTAAACGGAGAGTTTGATTAAGGAATACAGAAAACATTTACAGCTTCAGAAAAACTTTAAAGACTATTAGGCAAATCAGAGAATGTTAAAGAGAGAATAAAATTTCCAAACTTAAATGCATTATTTTTCCTTACACATCTCATTTAAATGATGTACCAGGAGCCTATAATAAACCTCCCACACCGAAATAATAGTACGCTGCACAATTAAAGTTGTTCAACGCCCCGTTTGTATACAATTACTGGTCCTCTGCCAGAAGCCAGGAAAGCATGTCTTTCCATAGCAACAGTAAGAAAAAGGTCAGGATAATATTTTCTTAGGAAATCTGGCCCTTATGAGAGATACAGGATTACTTTCTTGATTGCATGTTGTTTGAGGTACAGCGCATTCAGACTGACATTCATTGGATTGGTTTTGTTTTACTTTGAGCTTAATAAATGGATGTACAAACACTTGCACCTAGCTTCTTATGTGTAGTTCTTTGTGGCTACTTAGTCAGCATCCAGTTGCCACAGCCTTTGACCTAGCAAGGGTGCAAATGAGATGTGAAAACTGTTCCTTGTTAATTCATCGCGAGGCCAGCTCAGAATCTATTTAATTAAAAGCAATGAACTAAGCTAATATGCCTAGTTCATTTTATTGGATTTGGTCTAGTAAGTATCCTTTTAGATAATGGAATATTTAAAGGACAATGCAATGACATTTGAAAATCTATTTTTAAAACTTTTATTTATTTATTGCTGGGATTGAGAAAAGTCCTTGTACAATGTGAAAATGAGTCCATTCTTACCTGGAATTATTCTCCTCTGGTATGTTAGTGGCACACACTTTTGTTCTTGCAAGGTTGTATGATTGACATTGGTAGATTAACGGCACCTTTTCTAAAGCACTAATTCTTCAAATGCTTATACATGTAAGTCACTTTGATCATGTGAGTAATCCCATTCAGTTCTTATTGTGTGCACTTCGAATCATATTCTGTTTCTACAAAAAATAAAGTAAAATCAAATAAAAAAATAAAACAAAAAGAATTAAAAAAGAATAGGTCTTATTTAATAAAGTTTCTAAAGTTAGTGAGAGCTGGCTGCAAACTATTTAAAATCTCAAAGTTCAAAATATGGCAAAAACAGAAACAAAGCTTTAAATTCAGATCTTTTTCAAAATCTTACAAATGAGTCCCACCACCTTCTGGTCTAAACAGATTATCTCAGTTTTTTATCTCATGCACACTTGGGAACAGTTTTTCAGGGGTACAAGCATTCACAGAATCAGTGTCTTAAAGAACACCAATGTGTTATAATATTATGTGCAATTATATTCACTAGTACAGATTTTCACAACCATCACCAGATTATGGAACCCAGTAGATCTTTGCAGAGGGGAAGAAATATGTACTCATGTGAATGCATTTGGACTTTTCAAAGAGATGTACAGGCAGTGCAAAATAAAATTAGCTCAATCTATTGGTGCATAAACATTCAGAATATTCCTCTCATATCTGCAATACTCAAAGCTCAACAAATGGCAAACATTTTCCTTCAGGGGTGTACTTGGTAGCCTTGTTGGTCTGAGACAAAAAGACATACAACAAACTAGAACTCTTGGTTCCAAAATGATACCTTTTATTAGACCAATAATTGGGCTAATAAAAGGTATCATTTTGGAACCAAGAGTTCTAGTTTTTTATATAAACATTTCCCTTAGCTCTTTTAAATCAGTATTATATTTTCTCTATAAAAACAGTCAATCAATATACTGGGAGAATTTAAGTAAATATATATAAATAAGAATAATTCCTGAGAGGGAAATTCAACTATCACAATAAGGAAACAGAGGAAGTACCTTACTAACTGAAACCTCCTCAGCCTTAGAGTTCTTGAGCAGAATCGCACAAGAAAGGTCTCTGAGCACTAATCCTGTTGAGAGCTTTAGTGAAGCAAGCTTAAGTCAGAGAGTTTGTCATGAATGGGAGCCTTTATGGTAATACTGTACTATACCAAATGCATCAACCTTGAAAGATCATTTTCTCCTGTCATTGCTTTGAAAATGGTTTGTTTTTGTTATGGACAGAAGTGGACAGAGATGCATAGACCCTCTGAGAAATGTTTCTGCATTGCTTATCCGGCCCTGCACTCTCCAGTCAAGGAGCTCTGTGACATTAAAGCAGACTTCTAGACATCTGAAATAAGACAAATATCTTTGAAGCTGAGAACATGTGGTTATAGCTGCTGGGTAATATCGTTATGGAGTGACAATAACTTCCCAACAGACCCTGATGGGGTACCCAGATACAAATGATTGACATGATCTGTAATGTTGTGGAAGAACAGATTTCCTCGTTACAGGATTTTTTTAAGATGGTATCATATTTACTCAAATATAAGATGTGGTGGTCAGCCATGGTCAGTATGGGGGTAAAAGCCCCACCTCTTATATCTGCATACAAAATGGAGGGGGGAGCAAGCAGCTGCTGCAGCTCTGACTCTAGCCCTGAGCCTCAGTTGGGGCCAGAGTCAGACCCAGAGCAGCCTCCTGCCCTCCCTTCCTCTCTGTAGCTTCTTCCCCCTTGCCCACTCCCTTCCTTCCCCCCAGACTCTGCCTCTTGCCTAGCCAATCAGCAGCACCAACTCTGCCACATGGCCGGGCAAGAGTTGAGCTTTTGTGTGCTGTGTTCTGGGATGGAGCGGCATCTGACAGAAGAGCAGCAGGGAAGTATGGGTGGGGGGGAGGAGCAGAGACTGGGGAAGTTTGTGGTGGGGAGAGGCAGACACTGGGGGGAGTACAGGGAAGGGGGGCTGTGGGGAGCTGGAGGTGGAAGGGTGGGGTGGTAGAGGGCACAGGAAGGCTGCAGCGGGGCATGGTAGAGGACAAAAAGACTACGTAACCCCCCATCAGCCACTGCTTTTCCTGCTATAGCAGTGGTGGGAGAGGAGGGGAGGATTCAAGACAACCCCCTGATGCTTAGATTCAATACCTGGAAAATTTTAACAAATTTATACATTTTCTATATCTAATTATTTTCCAGAATCTAATTATTGGGGGCTTGTCTTATGTTCAGGGTCATCTGATATTTAAGTAGATACAGTAATATTTTTAATTAGAAATATCAAAATCTAAAATGTTTATACATATAAACAATAGAAACATTAGTTTGAAGCAAATGAAACATTTTGGTTACTATTTTTTAGATGTTTTCTTTTTATAGTTAGATATTAACATTTCTAAAGGAAAGGTCATTTTAAAATAAAAAAAATAAAATCTCCCAAAAATGCCAAAGTGGGATCTTTTGATAATTCTTAAACTTTTTCTTATTGATTTCAAATGATTTCTGAGTGCTAACCTTTCCCATAAGCCACTTGGTTTCAACAATTTTTCCCACCTTTTTGTTGAAGAATTACTGAGAAGCACTGATAACCTACATACTAGGTTATTACTCCAGCTGTGAAAAGTTACTTTAAATGATACAAATTGAAAAAAATAAAGCTGTGTGCAATTTTAAACGTCTTCCTAATGCACACTGCAAAATCCTTCACTGCAAGTGTAATGGTATTTTAAATCATGCCATCCTGGAAGTGGGATCCTGTGAAACATGTTCTGAAATGCAGTGGGAGTAGATAGCAGTCAGTACCTCTCAGTTGGTACTCATCATCCCACAGAAGGTCCAGACCAAAACATATTGAAGTCAATGAAAAATATTTCCTTACCTTCAACTGGCATTGAATCAGGACCAGAATGACTCCCAGCATGGCACTTACTCCAAATGAATGAGCTCTTGAAGGTCTACCAATTGGATAATTTCCCCCTTTTTTTGTAAAGGGCAACACCTGAAAAGATGGCCTCAGATGACCTTTATAAAAATAGAAAAGAGGAAATAACTTTTATCTGGCCTATTCTTTAGTCATATTCCATTTGCAGGGTCTGCTCCTTTCATGCCATCTATAATAAAACAAGTGGAGCTAATAACATTGTGCTCAAGTCAGTGGGATTCTTGCCTGAGGAACCAGTTGGACTGAGGTAAGCTGAACAAATCAAAGCAAATAGATTTGTCTCAGAGCTCCTTGCCCCTGTGCCTGGAGAAAGAAAATGCTTGAAAAAGTCTCTGCTAAATGCTTGGGGAAAAAAAGAAAAAAACAAAAATAAAACACAACAAAAAAACCCCAGAGTCTCGCCCTGCTCTGATTATTATAACTATTTATTTAAAATTTTCCATGAGCAAAGGGTCTATGGAGACTTATTTTCTGAATGAATGTTTCATCCCTGCCACAGCCTGCCAACCGTACAAAACCTAATTTTATTTTGAGTTTAGATTTTAACTGTTTGTTATTATTGAAATCAAGGTTATATAACTAATTCTACTAATTCAACCCATGCTTTTCTACTACTTGGAAAAGAAAAGAGGAGTAAAAAATCTCCCAAAACTCTCTGTTAAACACCAGGACTAATTGTTATAAATATTGTTATTCTTAATTAACAAAGCATAACATTTAATTGAAAAACACACACAGAGCAATAACAGTCTTACAAAGTGTAAAATAAAAGACTAAGGGTCTTATTCTGCAATTAGTTACACACCGTGTGTTCAGCCTCTAATTTTTATACAGTTTTAATGACAATGGTCATAACACAAGTCTCTTGAATACAGTATACAAAATTTGTATAATGCTATCCAAGAAAAATGTGCATCTCCAGTCCTTGTTGGCCAGAGTACACACTGTTCAAGGCACTGGGGCATGCAATGGATACTATGCCACCCAAATCTCTTCACAAATGCAAAGTTCAGGATACAAAAAATGGGATGTAAAAATTAGCTTAGCAGAATGAAGGAATCTGTGTGTGAGACCAAACAGTTCAGGAGGAAGGTTAGGGCCCTATTCCACCGATGAGGCATGTAAGTGGACTTTGCCACCTAAGCTTGTGTACAGACATTTGGGAGTTTAGATCAAGAAAAAAAAATGACTAGCCAATGTAAATTAGTTCACCCACATGCAGGCCTTACACTTACATCAATTTAAGTGCCCAAATGTACAGACATTCCCCAAGGGTTAGTTTGGCTGAAAAATGGGAAAAAATTTCAGGAAAAATGTGGGACCCTGTAAGTTCCCGTGGCATTCATCCATATGTCTAGATATTAAGGACCTCTCAGGTTTTGCCACTTTGCTGGGATCCGGACAGTGTGGAGCTGAAGTATATGCCTCAGAAGGCCTTCAGGGTGGTTCTCTCCTGCCACGTCTTTGGTGAAAAAAATAATTTATTATTGGGAGTAAGGTGTTATGGCCCAACTTCCCTGGGGTCTTTCCATGACCAGGATAGTCCAGTTTCCCAATTCAGGACTCTGCCTCCCCTACACCCCTACTTACACCAACCTTAAGATGTTATCTTCTGCTCACCTCTATAGTGAGCTCTGGTGATATTTTTCTTGTCTTGGTTTTTTGGTTTTAAAGGGAAAAAAAATAGGGTATGGACTTCACTTTGTCCTGAGTTCCCCGTCGTAGCAAAGACTTTCTAGTAGTCCCTGTTATCACTGGGTTTACCTTATTATACATGATGACCTTGCTTCTTCATTATAAGTTTATTTTGCTCCAGACTCAGCTCTCTGTTCCCTTTGCAGGGTCCCTGGCCATCCACTCCTGTCCAGAGGCATCTGGGATCCACACCTCTTTAGCTATGTACTTTAGCCCTTGTGGACTTTTCCTTTCTCCATGCGCTCCCTCCTGGGGCAGCCACCACTGATCCTCTTTGGAGCTTCCTCCTCCCTGGGGCTCTCCTGTCCCCACTGGATGCTTCACTTCTGGTCCTCCTGACTCTGCTCCCGGTGGAGCTTTTATCCCTGCCCTGAGGGGTCAGGGAGCAAATCAGCACTAGCACGCTACCACGAAATGGATCCAAGCCAGAGGTGGAGCTGACCCCAGATCTTCCTGGACCTGCTGTGCCTTTTCTTTTCTTTTTTCTTTCTCTCTTGATGCCATGGCATTTTTTCCCACCACAATTTCACTCCTGTCAGACTTCCAGTTTGCCGTCATGTCCCACCAGCTCAAGAGCTCTTCTCTGCAAGGTAAGTTCTTCTTTGGGGCATTGCCCCTATCACAGACTCTTATTGAATGGAGGAGGCAACATTGTGACAGAGGATGCAGAAAAGACTGAAATGCTCAATGGCTTTTTTTGCCTCAGTCTTCACAGGCAAGGTCAGCTCCCGGACTACTGCACCAGGCAGCACAGTTTGGGGAGGAGGTGAGCAGCCCTCAGTGGTGAAAGAACAGGTCAGGGACTACTTAGAAAAGCTAGATGTGTACAAGTCCATGGGGCTGGATGGGGTACACCTGAGGGTTCTGAAGAAGTCGGCTGATGTGATTACAGATCCATTGGCCATCATCTTTGAAAACTCATGATGATCAGGAGAAGTTCCAGATGATTGGAAAAGGGCAAACATAGTGCCCATATTTAAGAAAGGGGAAAGGGTGGATCTGGGGAACTACAGACCAACAAAAATCATGGAACAGATCCTCTAGGAATCCATTTCTAAGCACTTGTAGGAGAAGAAGGTGATTAGGAACAGTCAGCCTGGAATTACCAAGGGCAAGTCATGCCTGACCAAACTAATTGCCTTCTATGATGAGATGACTGACTCTGTGAATCTGGAGTACCTTGATTTTAGCAAGGCTTTTGATAAGTTCTCTGACAGCATTCTCACAGGCAAGCAAAGGAAATATGGGCTGGATGAATGGACTGTAAGGTGGATAAAAAATTGGCTGAAGCATTAGGCTCAGAAAGTAGTAATCAATGGCTCAATGTCTAGTTGGCACCTGGTATCAAGTGGAGTGCCCCAGGGGTCGGTCCTGGGGCTGGTTTTGTTTAATGTCTTCATCAACAACATGGAAGATGGACTAGAGTGCACAATCAGCAAGTTTGCAGATGACACCAATCTGGGGGGATTAGTAGATATGCTGGAGGGTAGGGCTAGGATCAGAATGACCTAGACAGATTAAAGGATTGGGCCAAAAGAAATCTCATGACAAGTGCACTTCCTGCATTTAGGATGGCAGAATCCCATGTACCACTATAGGCTGGGGGCTGAGTGGCTGGGAAGCAGCTCTGCAGTAAAGGAGCTGGGAGTTAGAGTGGACAATAAGCTGAATAAGCCAACAGTGTGCCTTTGTTGACAAGAAGGATAACAGCATACTGGGTTTCATTGGTAGGTGTGTTGCCAGTAGGTCCAGAAAAGTGATTATTCCCCTCTATTCAGCACTGGTGAGGCCATATATAGAGTACTGTGTTCAGTTTTGGGCCCCCACTACAGAAAGGATGTGGAAAAATTGGAGAGAGTCCAGAAGAGGGCAAGAAAAATGGTGAGGGGGATGAGGGACATGACTTATGAGAAAAGACTAAGGGAATTGGGCTTATTAAGTCTAGAGAAGAGGAGACTGAGAGGGTACTAAAGCAGTTTTCAACTCCCTGAAGAGGGCTTCAAAAGAGGATGGAGCTGGACTGTACTCAGTGGTGGCAGATGAGAGAACAAGGAGCAATGGTCTCAAGTTGCAGCAAGGGAAGTTTAGGTTGGATATTAGGAAGAATTTTCTCATTAGAATGGTAGTAAAACACTGAAACAAGTTACCCAGAGAGCTGGTAAAAGCTCCATCCTTGGAGGTTTTCAAAACCCATCTAGATAACGCTTTGACTGGGATGATCTAGTTGGGGATGGTCCTTCTTTGAGCAGGGGATTGGACTAGACGACCTCTTGCGGTCCCTTTCAACCCTAACTTTCTATGTCCAGCCTAATCTAACTTTAGTTCACCTGAGAGATGTGCTACATTAGATTGGGCACAGCTAAACGGATCTAACCAAACTTCTGTACACATTCAGAGCCCAGCCCCAGGGCTTCACTTTTCCTAAGGACCCCTCCATGCCACCAGGTTATTTTTAGCCCCCGTGGACCAGCCAGTTGTCTAATCCCTATGGAGGATTAGACAATCCCCCATAGGGATTAGACAATTGATTAATCCAATCAGTTGTCTAATCCCCCATAGGGAGGGTGAGCCCTCTGATCCCACCAACCTTCCTGCAGAGCAACTAGCCCTCCAATCCCAACCCCTCCCCGACCCAAAGAGGCAGGATCAGGGGTGTGGAAGGGGCCTGAGGGGAAGCTGGCTGGATCAGAGAGGCTCTCTGATCCCACCAACCCACCTGGACCTCACCCAACCCCCCACAGGGCTCCCCCCCAACCCCACCAAACCCTCCCAACCCTACTTGCAGAGCCCACTAGCCCTCCCCCACCCCCAGCTCTGTGAACAGCCCCACTAACCCCTCCCCAATCCCATCTGCTTCTCCCCCTCCTTTGACTTATCTTAGATCAGGCTCTTGGCACTTATCTAATCAATGAGTTAGATTGGGCAGCCATTTTTTAACTGATGTAACCTCCCAAACTTATCACTGTAACATCTATATGCACCGTAAGTGTGATCCCATATTACCCTATTGTCCATCTTGATTGTAAACTACTTCATGCAAAGTAACTTAGACTTTTCTCAGTTTTCAACTATTTGAGGAAATTGTGCTAGGATTTGGGGAAAATGTTTGTTTGAAAATGTTTCTTTGTATTGCATGTTCTGTTTGAGCAGAGTAATACATATATCTGAAATTTCTCAGTGGAAGGAACTTTAGTCTTACTATCATTTATTAAAGGTATTGTTGCAAACTGATTTTTTGATCACTAATTTGTATTAAGATGAATAGAAATTGTTGGCAGCACAAGTAATTTCCAAACATATGCAATAAAAGAAAGAGTGACGGATATAGAGGGTAAGGGAATAAAGCAGAGTCAAGGCATTATAACTTATGAGTTGCACTAAGTATATGTATCGCTATTTTAAAAGTTATATCAATGGTTTATTTTTAACAACTTGTCTCATCTTTTCTCAAACAGCTGTTAATCTAATACAGGCAGTAAGTCATTCTATTTCTTTTAATTCCTTTTCTCTTGTCATCCACATTTCTATAGTGGATATTTGTTTTGCAACCATCATGATGAAATTCACTTGCTGGAAAGAGTCATGGTGAGTCTAAAGAGCTCTCTATCTTTATTTAATTTCAGTAAATCATAACAATTCCTTAACTCCACAGTAAAAAGTATCTAAGGGATATATTAATGAAATAACTCATGTATTAATTTTCTATAGTCTGATATCTTTTTTAATAAACATCTTTGGATCTCTTTCACAATACAGCAAAGAAATGAATGTAAAAATAATGGCTGGTTCCTGCCCCCCCACCTTCATGAATCAGTAAAATTAAAACAATATAAAGATGTTAACATTTAAGAACAACAAATGTGAAGAGTATCAAAGACTATTTTCTGCAGTTTCCTAAGACACATGTATGTTGGTCATATTAGGCAGACCTCAACAGAGAAAGTATGAAAGAACTGGGAAATAGATGACTGAGATTCTTTGAACTCAGGCAGGGATTTTTATGTGAACGGAGATGAAGGAATTAAGTTCTGCTGTTGATGTTAAAATCCCCATCTTAATTCTCATGATCAAAAGTTGGCAAATGTATTATAAACATTCTTTTAGCTGTGCCAGTTTCTAATGTGGAAGTTAATTCAATATACTTTTTAGTCATGGGCCCAAAGTCTTTGCCAAATTTATATGTAAAATCATATCTTACCTTACAAACTGGTACTAGTATCTTAGATTTTAACCTCTTTGGAACAAGGATTATCTTTTTTATTTCTAGTACATAATACTATGTCCATAATGGAGGTTTCTAAACTCTACTGCAATACAAATAATAAATAATCATCACTGGTATCACTGTATTACATACAAAAATACCCTAACCAAATCATGTTTTCAAAAACATACCACACAAATAAGCTATCTTAATAATTTATAGAAGATATTTATTCTTGTTTAAATATATTTTTCCTCTTTTCCTCTTTCCCCTCACCCTATTCTTTGAATGAACTGGTAAAGCTTCACAGACCACCTACAGCTTCCACTGCAAAACCTATGTTAACCTACTTTCAGGTCTATTTCATTTCCAAATAAAGCAGACTAATATTTTTTCCTCTCCCAGGTCAAAAAAAACATATAATTTTCTCCTTCAAATGCCTCTGTTGACTTTGTCTGACCTTCTACATCCAATTCAAGCTTCTCATGCTCAGCTTCAAGACTGTTCATAACTCAGTCCCCACACTCTGCGACCACTTAATCATTTCTACTTCCATGCCATTTGCTCTCTTGATGCTCTGTCCAACTGTCCTTGATAGTAATAGACAAATGTGCATGGTGTTTAGCAGTAAGTGGATCCAGCCCCAAATGAATCCCATTTTATGACTCCCACAGTTCCTGTCCCACTCGGGTTTTCATACTTTCTATCATTCTACCTCCTGGAAATTCCTCCCTATCCCTGAGTACCTGAGATATTTCAGCCTCAAATTAACTTAAATCCTACTTTCCTGAACAGCTCACAGATGCAAAACCACTTCAGTTATCTGGAAAATGGGATGGAGTGCACCCTCAGCAAGTTTGCAGATGACAAGAAGCTGGGGAGGTGTAGTAGATACAGTGGAGTTTAGGACTAAGATTCAGAGTGACCTAGACAAATGGAAGGGTTGAATCAAAATAAATCTCATGAGGTTCAATAAGGACAAGTGCAAAGTCCTGCACTTAGGAAAGAACAATCCCATGCACTGGTAATAGCTGGGGACTGACTGGCTAAGTTGCAGGTCAGCGGAAAAGGGAGTTACAGTGAACAATAAGCTGAATATGAGCCAACAGTATGCCCTTGTTGCAAAGAAGGCTAATGGCATCCTGGGCTGCATTAGTAGAAATGTTGCCAGCAGATTGAAAGAAGTGATCTACCCCTCTTTTCGGCACTGGTGAGTCTACATCTGGAGCACTGTGTCCAGTTTTGGGCCCCCAACTACAAAAAGGATGTGCACAAATTTGAGAGAGTCCAGTGAAAGGCAATGAAAATGATTACAGGGTTGAGGTCCATGACTTATAAGGAGAAGCTAAGGGAACTAGGCTTATTTAGTCTGGAGAACAGAAGACTGACGGGGGGATTTAATAAGCCTTCAGCTACCTGAAAGGGGATATCAAGGAGGAGGAAGCTACACTGTTCTCAGTGATGGCAGATAATAAAAGAAGGAACAGTGGACTTAAGTTGCAGCAAGGGAAAGTTTAGGTTAGATATTAGGAAAAATCCTCTCACCAAGAGGGCTGTAAAGCACTAGAACAGGTTACCCAGAGAGGTTGTGGAATCTCCATCCTTAGAGGTTTTTAAGACCCAGCTCGACAAAACCTTGGGGCCAGTCCTGCTTTAAGCAGGGGGGTGGACTTGATGACATCCTGAGATCCCTTCCAGCCCTAATTTTCCATGATTCTACTTGTACTCGGTTAGTTTAGTTACACTAAAGTCAAACGATGATGTTAGACAGAACCACTGTGTGGTCACCTGATACTATGGGGAGAGATTATATGCTCTTCTTCCAGTAAACACAGCAAACATTGGCACAGCCCATGAAGAGGGGGTAAAAAAGTGGCTTTGTATACTTATGCCCTCAGGATTCACAAAAACCTCTGGTACAACTTAAACAGTTCATGGAGCTACATATATTATTGCCACCTTATCTGGGAGACTGGATGAAGTTGAGTGATTTAGTAGTTTTATTTTTCTTTTTTTGCCAAAGAACATGATTCTAGGGAGACTAAAATTGTTTGTAAATTTAGGTCATATTTTGAAGCATTCCAATTCTAAAACATGGGATATATTTTTGAAAAAGTTAAAAAGTTTAATGTTGATATCTGTAGAATAGTTCATTTTGATTTTTTTATTCAAACCAAAACATATTCTCAAAAATTTAGCATGATTTATTTTTTTAAAGCATAAAAAAACACCAAATGAGGTACGGAGTGAAAGGGTAAATAGAAAGACCTATTTGACCTGAAAATATTTTTTCTGATTCGTCATTTTGGTGAGAAAAACATACATTTCATTTTGAGTCATAACTACTTTTGGAGCCATTTTGCAGACAAATGAACCCAATGAAAGTTATTTCTCATTCTGATTGCTACAGAATAAAATAAATATTTGATTCTTTGTAAACATGAGGATTTCCTTTGAAAGAAGGCAGAACAAAGCAATACACCTTGGTTCACAAAATTGCTTATACTGTCTTAGGGGGAATAAAATCACTCCCTCTAGGTCATTAGCTAGTCATTATTCAAATACATTTTAAGTCAAATACCCTCACATTCAAGCCTTGGAAAGACCCACACATCTTTTCACAGATGCCAACTTGGGTTAGAGGACTATTGAATGTGGTGAAATTTCCCAATGCATCTCACTTAGAGAAACACCTGTGCTCAATTACTGCTGCTGTTCTACTGTGAAAACTCCAAATGCCTTACTTAGCTGGGGTCAGGTGGTTTACTGTGTAATTGCCCATCAGGCTATTGTATGAGTCAGGAAGAAGCAGTTTTAAAGCATCAGAAAGAACTTTCCTTTTTAACTTCTATCGCTGAGTAATAAATTAGCTTTTTTTCACTTAACATTGGAGATCTTCATAAATTTCACTGTTTATTTCAGGAGGTTTTCAAAAAGGGGGTATTTTGACAGGTTTTAAAATATGCTGTCATTGTAAAAGCAGAAAAGGTTCCTAGGCAAAACCAAGAAAATAAAGACGGGTAGCATGAATGGTAAAAAGGTAAAAAGTCATCACACTTTCAGATCTTATAAGTTAGAAAGGAAGTTATTTAAGACTGAACATACAGCTATGGAAGAGACACCCTGATAGGACAAGGAGTTCTGGCTTTGATCGGCATGTGTGGTACAGTTTGCAGTCCCCCTGTTGTGGTACTAAGATATCTCCTATAGTGTGGAAGGAGTCTGGCAATCCCGTTCCTCAAAGCTGTTGTTGGTCAGCAGCTGAGGCCAGGAAGGATTTTTTTCCCCCACAGGAATGATACTTGTTGTCCTCTATATCAGGGAGATGGTCCTTTTCCTAGGATTTTCTGAGTGTATGTTACCCAATTACCTTACTTCCCTGTTGTTGCAGTGGCAGGACATTGGCAGTGTCCCCATCTCTCCTGCTTTTATCTATGGCATGTTGTAGGGCATCCTTAGTCTTGTGGATACTGTGCTTTGTACTTGAAACTGAGGTTTGAAGTGGTGATTTTGGAGATTCTTGGAAAATGCATGGCACTGGATCTGATGGTTCAGGAAGCCCCTTTCAATCCCATGTCCCTATGAGTAACTCAACAAGTGACATGCTTCTTTCTGAGCTATTAATGGACCACTGCCCTGGCACATGGACTGCTCATGAGGCACTGTGCTGCTGGGGAGGCTGACTCACGAATGACAAAGCCTCAGCTGGCATAAACTAGCTTCATCTGAGCTATAAGAATTTACACCCACGAAGGAGGTGCCTGAGAAAATTTAAGGTCTGAGCATAAGTGGTTATTAAAAATTCCAAGGTATTTCCTAAAGTATAAATTAGGCCTTTTGTTTTATTTATTTTTAAATTGATGACTTTCAAGAGCAGCGATATTCTACTGTGGGTGACACAAACTGTCTTTCCTCTGAACTTCAGCTAATAAGGCTACCATGCTTCACGCCAAGCCAGCTTGTGTTCCACTGGCAACTACAGCACTTGTCATAGGGGGCTGGATGTCAGTGATGGGCACAATAATACCTGGTTATAGTAGAGTATATTCACTATATAGTATAGTCTGTAAACTCATGCAAAACTCTTTGAGATTCTCCTGGACCTTATTTATTACTGTCTAAATGTAAAATCATTATGAAGAATAGGAGGTTGTGAACAGGTGTGTTAGTGGACTAGTAATCAGCACAGCAATATGTAAATCTGAGTGTCTGGTATCTCCATGTGAGATGAACCCAGTAACCTCATGAATTTATTCCTCCTATAAATACACTGTTTTGCTTCTGCCTATACTTGGGCTTTATGTGTATGTTTTTCCCTGCCTTCCTCTGAAGTACATGATATTAGCCCCAGCTAGAGATGAGAGTTTAGCTGTGGTACTTC